GCTCTTGCAGGTCTACTAGAGTATCCACTTCTGAGGTTGATTTTCAAAATGTATATATCTAATATTTCTTACTGCAGCTTTAAGCTTCACTGTCATCTAACTTTGTCTAGTTAATATACTTACTCGGCAACATGGAAAGTTTCCACATTTGTTCTAGCTGTCTCTATGGGTTAGCGACTTAGCATACATGTTGTAATAAGGTTTCACATTTGCTTCTCTGACAAGGTCTGTTTTTATTCATAGGTAGAAGATAGCGACAGAGTGCTGCCAGATAATGAGATGTTGAAGCGGCAGATTGAATCCATGACACCGAAGTGCAATTGCGGCAGATTATCTCTATCTTTTCTTTTCATTTTTCTTATTATTGAGTGAGAACAGAATGAGGAACTGTGTGATAGTACATACAACAACTGTAGTAAAAAGAAACTTATGTTTGCAATTGTTAATGACATAGATACTTGCATGTTCTTTGAAGTGGTCATTTGTGAGTTGCAATGCATAATGAGGTTTTTTGGCTGATTTATTTCCTTCGGTTTCTGGTTAACCATGAAATAGGAGCCCAGCAGTGCTCACTATTGTTGTGTTTACTGGGAACTGTATGCATAAAATGGAATTGGTAGATTTTATTTTTTTAATTATAAATTAGTTAGTAGTGGCGTGGGAAAAGACTGCGCGCTACTAGTATTTAGGATACTAGTAGCGTTGGTAGTATGGACACGCTGTTACTATTTTGTTAGTAGTGGCGCGGGTACTAAATAGTAGTAGCATGGGTGGCACACGCTACTACTAACTTTGTTAGTAGTAGCGTGGGTTCAACCAACGCTATTACTAACTATTAGCTGTAGCGCCTTATTGGTAGCGCGGGTACCCGCGCTGCTGCTAGGCTTTTCCCTAGTAGTGACGGCACGTAACGGCCTAAAGGTCAAGACTAAAGTGGTATAGGCAGATAGTATTTTAATGTCTCATTTAGTGTTATTCAAATGAACTTAGACTATGTGGTGGTACTTCTGAAATCGTGTTTTTACTGTGGCACCAAACCAATTTTGCATATGCTCATCTACTATTTTTCGTATTAGCTTAAAAAGAGACACCGAGTAAAACCAATCAAGCATTCCTAAGAGCATTATTCTATGTTCAGCGGCACATATCTAACCATTCCAATACAAGAACAACAGAGCTAGGGAATCTTAGAAGATTCAATATAGGAATGCAAAAGTGGTAGCTAAATAGTGATTAACTTATGAAATTAACTTGGGGCTGGGACTTGTAAAACGTCACCTGGGTGGCCTCTTCTCCAAACGGTCCTCAACTTGGGCCAGAGATGGCTTACTTAAAGAGATCCAGGCAGCAAGAGCCTCATCAAATGGAACAGTCCCTGTCATCGCCCTGAGAATAATAAGGCCAAGATTAGTTTTTCGGAATATATTATATGCTAAACAACTAACATACTCCAGAAACTATGACAATTGCTTTGTCGTCCACTCGGCAACTGCCTGCCCAGCCCCACAGAAATCAGCAAGCTCGTCAATACCCTCATCCAAGCATACAGTGCTATCCACATCGAAGCACACCGCATTGGCATTGTGCCATGTCTTAAGAATCTTTGGGCATAAGCAGGTAAACCATTGCATAACCTAACATCTATGCTTCTTGGAGACGTGCACGATTAACCAAAGTAATTCTCGGTGATTAGGAGTACTAACCTTTGGAGGGCTGGCGGGTTGCCAAACCAGAAGAGGAAGGGGCCTTGGAGACCTCCATTGCTGCTACCACGATAGATAAAGAGGTGGTGAGGAGTGCAGGCACCAGATCGAAACATGGAGGAAATGAAGTGTAAATGGCGGCCAGATGTTCTCCACAGCATGGCACCTGGCATCAAAGAAATAATTTTAGAACCTTTAAAACAATATTTGGAACTAAGGATACCTAATATTTTGTAAGGTCAGAGTCGTTGAGAGCAAGTTTACTATCATATTGACTGAAACTATATGCAAATGTGCATGAAAACAGTGATGGTCTTGCATTGTCACTCCTCGCAGCATATACTGGATGCTTGTCCATAAAGCTGATGACCAATAATCCCATAATAGCTATATTTTGGTAAATAAACAAAATGCAACTCATCTAGATACATAAGTTTAGACCAGTTGACGTGGATACATATTCAGAAACATAACATAGAAAACAACCAGAACAGATAGGAAGCATGGCTCACTACGCATAAATGTGACTTCATCGATGGTGTTTGATTAGTGAATCTCATTTGGCACTATTATTCAGTTAACAAATGATTTTTTGTCTAACACATCTGATGCTCATAGCCAGCAAGGTAGAACGGTCTAGTGTAGCCAAACAAATGAGAAAATATGGTAGTTCATGTAGTCTTAGAGCCTAGATTAGAGCAGAGAACCACAAAATATGATAATTCATGCCAGAGTCTAATTCAGTCACCCAATGAGAGCTGATATCTATAGAGTTCAATCTCTGTAACAACCGTTTACATATTTCTTCTATATCCATTGCTCTCTGCTGGAACGATTAGAATAGCAAACAAATAATTCTTGGGCATTGATATTAGTGACTTATTGTTCACATGCATATACTGAAATCCAAAGAGAGCATAAAGGTAATATGCTATAGCATATACCTGTACTACAAGTAACAAAAGAGTAGTCTCTTTCCTTTTTTCAACATAACACTCTACTTAACTGATGCACTTGGGCTAACAGGTACTTAAGAAAACACCAATGACTAATCATTTTGAAGTCAGCAGGGCTGAGTTCTACACATGGCTAGTCAAGTCCGCTTGCCAAGCTGAATGTTTCTTACAAATGCGGAAATATCCATAAGATTGCATCTCTCCTGTTGTACTCAAATAATATTTTATATATATCAGTGGCTTCAAAAGCTACGTACCAGCCATCATTGGCCTGTTTTATTCTAGATCATTATCAGTATAATAAAATGTTGGACTGTGCTAACCACCAGTCGACTGGTGGTTAGCAACAGATCTGCACGACCTTCGATCGATTATTTCGCTCCTTCCGCTGCGTCGTTCCTTCCGCTTCCACTGATTTTTTTCCTTCTCTCAAAAACCGTAGTAAATTGCTAGTGGTTTTTTCTGGTTTTTTGCTGCATAATATGAAAAGAAAATAAAAGTGCTCGAAAGAGGATTCGAACCCAGGTCTATGTAATACCTATCGAGCCTAATAACCAACTAAGCCACCTTTTGTTGTTGTTTATTGTAGAATGACAATGTTATTTGAACCTTCCTTATTTCTACCATATCAAAAGAAAAAAATAAAGTTTGGCTTGGTAACTTTGGCAATGACCAGCGTGATAATTATGGTCTGAGTAACATGATAACTATACCATGATAAGGCTGGTAACTACAGTACGAGAAGGTTAAAAGCATGGGAAAGTATGGTAATTTAACATAGAAATTACCGGTGAAATGTTTCAAAAACTTTTTTCCCTTGGATGAAAGACACCATGGTGTTTAAACGTAAAATATTAGTTCTCAAGTCTGCGAAGATACATCATCATGCTATTTACACAGAAATTATCGGGTGTATGTTTTTCAACAAAAAAGTTTCATGTCAAGAGTTACAGTGGCGTTTGTATGGGAGTTATCAATTTTGTATGTTTCTATTGCCATGTTATTTACACAGAAATTAGCGGGGCATCACCCACCCCCCCCCC